CCAAAGTGACCCATGCTTTGGCCTTTGGGCGTCCATTAAAAAGCCCAGGCCCAGTACTACCATGCTTTAGGTGGTACAGACATTGTCATATAAAGTCAATAAATACTTTCAGTACTCCCAGCATTAAATTTGTAGGGCGTCATCTAAAAAAAGAGGAAATTTCAAACGACCAAGATACTACATGTCTTACAACAAGAAAAACTGGAGTCTGGAGCCCGGAGGCATCCACCCTAGTTGGTGTTTTGCCCGGCAAATCATGTACAAGTGATTCAATTTTTCTCCAAACAGTTTGAAACTAATTATTTTTTCAGACAAAAGAATTAACTATGTTTCCACCATCCCCACATAGAAAATAAAACCACATAATTGTGGCCATACTCCACGTCCAGACCCATGTGTTGGTTCTTTCTAATCCTTTTAAATTGGGGCATCCAACAACAAGCTGAGAGGCCTATAATGATTTGTAGGTACTGCACGTCCAGACCCAAAGATTTTGCTACACAAGATAATGTGTGTGTTAAGGTATTATAAACAATAATGTCATATAATCCAGTATTGAATTCTTTAACAATATAATATTAAATTCGATTGAATATTTCTTTTTTTCCTTTTATTTATTTATTTTTTTGTATTATATAATACACATTAGTGGGGATTCAAGGATGGAGATGGAGCAGGATGTATAAGTTTATTGTCCATACCCAAGGATTAAGGGGTTGTTTGGCAAGTCCTTTTGGAAAGATCTTTTAGTAGCTCTGACAGTCAAAAGATGCATTAAGCTTTTACATTAAGATTTAAGTGGCCTAAAGCCTGTTTGGTTACGATGTGTCTTTCCGTGCATTTTTCTGTACAAAGACGAATATAAAAAAATGCAAAAACTCCATTTGAAGCTTCTTGAAAATCACCCGTTTTAGGCTTTTCACATCTTTTTGGTGCGGTAGCTTTTGGCAACTAGATATACTATGAACCAAACGGAAAAAGACTGAATCGTAGTCCGCCAAACTTGTAAATAACCAATAGACCGCACGAAAAGACATACCAAACATGACCTAAAATATCGATACAGTACACCTTATCTTGTATCCATTATCCATATTGGTTGACTTGAAAATGGCTGGATAAGATGATACAAAAAACCTTAAAACTTTGGGATCTAATCCCTCTTCCTCTAATGCCTAAAAAAAGTTAAAAAAAGTTGAGTATCAGCCATATTGATATTCAATATGTATTAATACTCACCTTTAAATATTATCATATTGGGTGCATCAATAATTTAATCCTTATCCATACCACACAGAGCCTGTATTGGGTGCATCAATAATTTCAGCATCTGCACATTTTAAGTCCATGGCTTTTTGGAGTGGAGTTCAGATCTGCGCCCCACAACGTCCCACAGCACATCTCCGCCATGCATTGGGGAACATCTCCCTATGATATATCAGAAGCGAATATTCCCAATACACAACGGGGATGTGCTGTCGAACGTTGTGAGGCGCAGATGTGAACTCTTTGGAGTTTGGAGTGATACCGTGTGGCTATGTTGATTAATGGGTCATTAACTTCAATGCTTCATAAGGCAAAGATGTTTTTCTAATTCATAAATTAACTACTAAAATAGGTGCTGAAAGTACAGTATAGAAGAGATTTGAAATTCAAAAAAGTTCAGTTTAACATTTTAGGTGGTGATGACCACATGTGTATTTCATTTTCTAAACCAAAACAACTGCTACATCAATCAAAATTACCTATTCCCCAATGCCCAACCACTGTTGCTAACTTGGCATAGGTGGTCAAAAGGTTTCTTTGTTTTCACCACCACCACCATCATAGTCATCATCTAAGCATTATATCAACGATATGGGCCGGTTATATGAATCTGGTTTCAAAATAATATCTAAGCTCTGACTTAATTGGCTTAATTGCTTCGAGGTTTTCATATTGTGCTTTTAATTATAATTGTCTTAAAATATAATTTTAATATTATGCTTGTAATATCATCGTCCAAATGTGTCAATTTAACAAATTTAGAGGTTTGATTGGATCCCTTCTACATTTGTTATTGTAGATATCCTATAGGGTCTGACAATGTTCAAAGCAATGTTTTCAACTAGCCGTTGACTCGGCCGGTCGAATCATTCAAACCATCACCTGGTTAGGATTTCAAGTCTAATTCAGTCAAGACTTGTCAGACGGTTAAAAACTGTTGATTTGGTCAAGAACCATTTGACCCAGTGATTGGGTTATGGGTTGCATACTCAATGCATGCAAAACTTTCAGAGACCATAACTTTGCACTCCAATATTTGGTTGGAGTGATTTTTTTAAATGTAGGTAACTTTTCTATCTCTATGCGTTCGAAGGAGCTAGGCGCCTTGTCCTCGCTATTTTTGCGAAAAATCCCCTTTTTTGGCATCAAATTGCAATTTTTAATATTTTTTATAAATAAAAATATTAAAAATTAAATTAAAAAACATAAATTAAATATAAAATAATACATATAACATATTTAAAACATATTTATACATTATTTATTGCTAAAATATAATTTTATATACAATATATATATGCATTGATGTGGCATGGTCTGAACCACTCGACCTGGTCGGTCGAACCGACGACCTACGACCCAGAGGTAAAAACAGTTTGGCCTCCAGGTTGGTTTTTAAAACATTGATTCAAAGTATCAATACACTCCGTTGGAACTGAAAGGGATGTGTTAGTATCTTGAACTTTGTGCTTTTTTTTTTCAAAACTTCAGAACCAGGAGCCTTTTTCTTTTCAAAAACAAAATCAACCATATTGTCAAACACCCCTTAATTGTTAAAATAAATCTCTTATTAGTATTTCCTTTTTGTGTGGCAATTGTCTTTGTTTTCAAAAGTAAAAACAACCATGTTGTCCAACACTCCCTTAATTGTTAAAAAAAGCATACTGGTCATAAAAAATATGATACAATACCCATATTTTATTTATATTTTGGATTAGCTGAATGTGATTACTGTGCTTGGGACGAGATCACAACTCCGCCCCACAGCACATCCCCGCCGTGTATTGGGAAGATCTCCCAATGATGTCACTGGTACTATCATCGGGAGATGTTTCCAATACACGATGGGGATGTGCTGTGGGGCGTTATGGGGTGGCCCTTTGTGGGGCAGAGATGTGAACTTGAGACTGTATAACCAATAATAATGCCCTACATGACTACATCAGCTATGCATGTGAAATGAAAGATTGAGTGCTTTTGGGGAATATGTACTTTTCTGGCTGATGTGGAGTGTTTCTATTGGTTACACAGTTATCACACTCAGTTAATTTGGGCTCTTCGGAAAGGGCAGGTCTATCTAGAACCACTTAGATTAGGCCCAATCCATAGATGACACTGCCCTGCTTTACCAGTAGGCTTGTCAATGATACCAGAAAACATGTGGCCCCACATCTGATCTAATTATCTCAAGTTGGAATGATGTGTTTATGTAATTGGATTGAATTCAGATTTGACTCCATACGCCCTGGTTAAAATTTGGTTATGATTAATATTTATTGATTTTAAAATATAAATTTATATAATTATATTTAAAATTATAAAAAATGTATTTTTAAAAATTATATATTATATATATATATATATATAATAAATTTAGTATGTTGTAATAAATCCAATTGAACTTCAAACCAAATTGGGATGCTAATCGGATCAGATTTGGATTTTACTGAATCCAATCCAAATCTGACCTGTTTACAGCTTTATTTACCAGTGAGGCATTTGACAAAATTTTCCATGTGTCTTTTGTGCTTTTCAAAGATCAGAAAAGACCAAAATTTGATTTTGTTTTTGGTTTGGCAATAAAAGATGGAAAACCAGAAAAACCTATTTCCAGAAACTCGTGAAATGCCAAAAACGACCAAAAATCAAGAAATTTCAAATGAAGATTTGATAATTCTGCATTTTAAAACATCCTTATACTCGATTTTGAATAGCCTGATTGACCAGTATACTAAACAAATGATCTTTGATTTTTAAAGACGAGTTCCAAAAAGCTTGGTCCGTCTTTTGGTCTTTCTTAGCTGTGGAAAGATCCAGTTAAAAAAGGACTTGCCAAAACAGCCCTCAAGTCAATTGCATTTTGATTTTTGCAGAAGACAAATGAACTGCGTAATTGTGCTGATCTCAGAATTTGGTATTTGGTGGGCCGAAATACCAATTCAAAAATGGTGTGGGTATGGGTGCTTACGGTTTATTGGGCTGCAAAATCTATAAAACAAGGAATCTTTGTCAACATCAAATGGACCACTTATTTGACAGCAGTTTAGCATATATTCAGTCGGTTGAAGATGCTAACTGCTAAGTAAGCCCATTGAAAATTGTATCTCCAGAGCCTCAGAGCTTCAGACCTGTTTCTCTCTTTCTCTCTCTCTCTCTCTACATGAGCCTCTATGGTGAGTTGGTGACTGGTAACCGATCTGATGGTGGCCCATGAAAACCAGTGACGAGTGACAAGGGAGCCCGGTGCCCTCAACGTTTACGTGGGACTTATTATTTGCCACGTGGCAATTGTATATGAAAAATTGGAGGGAGCTTCTCCAGTTATCAGTTCTCACTTGATATTGATTCAATTCATAAATCAAAATCGGTTGACCAGGGTGCACTACACCGGTGAAGTCAAGTACACGCTATACGATATACGCAAACTTATGGAGTAGGGCTGTGGGACCCATGGAGTGGTGGGTGGGTAACCATCCATCACCATTCACCAGCAAAGGACGTGTACAATCACGGTGAACCCAAGCCCATCATCTTATTGTGGTCCATGACACACCCAATAGTAGAGCAAGAAGCCTTCCCAACGTTTTCCAGATTTCTGCTGTGCTGTCTCTAGAGTCGTCCACCGGCTCACGACGACCAACCCACCTCACCAAAAGCACGGTCCACATTAATTAGCCGACAGCGAGACAAACGAGGCAGCTCACAGATTCCACCCCCTCCCACTCCAACCTCTCCTTCCCCAAACTACCCTCCCGGACCAACCATTGAAACTCCAAGGTGACGAAAATAAGCCCAACATTCCAAGGGCAAGATGGTCATTTGCCATATCGGTAAGTCCCATCGTAGACAGAGACCAACCGGAATTTTCTTCTCTCTTTCCTTGTAGTTGTAGTTGTATGAATCGTCTCTCCTTTCCGTCTGCCTAAACCACGGAAAAAACAAATCCCAAAATAATAAGGGGTCAGAGAGAGAGAGAGAGAGAGAACAACAACGACGTAAGTGCGTGTAACCGAGCCGAGCCGATTCGATCGGAGCCGAGCAATGACGCAAGCATCCGCGCGAACGTCGCCGCACGCGCGCTTTACCGGCGACCTGACCGTAACCCCACACATGCGGCTCACGCGCCTGTCGACAGCCGGCGCATTGCCGCTACGACTACGTTACATCCCACCGACGCATCTCGTCTCCATCCCTCCCCTTTAACAACAACAACAAAACAAACACCACCTCTTCGGAAGATTCAACTTCAAAGCAGAGACGGCGATGGACGGATCGGAGGCCCCAACGACGACGGCTCAAGCACGCCCGTCGCACAATCCGTTGCCCTTCCGTGAGGATTGCTGGAGTGAGGAAGCCACCTACACGCTGATCGAAGCCTGGGGCGATCGGTATATCGAGCTCAACCGCGGGAACCTCCGTCAGAAGCATTGGCAGGAGGTCGCTGACGCCGTTAACGCCCGACATGGCGCCATTAAGAAGAATCGTCGCACCGATGTTCAGTGCAAGAACCGGATCGATACCTTGAAGAAGAAGTACAAGATTGAGAAAGCTAGGATTTTGGCTTCGGACGGGACCCTAACTAGTAGCTGGCCTTTCTATTATCGTCTCGATGCCCTGATTGGGTCGACCGTGCCGGCGAAGAAGCCATCGCCTCCACTTGCCCTTCCTTTGCCCTACCGGAAGACACCTCCTTCGCTGCCGCACGCTTCTCCGGTACCGGTCGCCGTCCGGTCGGCGAAGGAGAAGCGGCCGTCTCCTGCGGTCGACGATTCCTTCTTCCGGCGGAACTATTCGGCGGTTGCTGCTGCAGCTGCGGCTGCAGAGAACGACGCGGATTCGGAGTCGTCGAGGTCGAGCACGGAGAGTCGACGTCGAGATGGGGAGGCGGATGGGTTTCGACAGCTGGCTCAGGCTATAACGAGATTTGGGGAGATTTATGAGAGAGTGGAGGGCGCGAAACAGAGGCAGATGATTGAATTGGAGAAGCAGAGGATGCAGTTTGCCAAGGATTTGGAGTTCCAGAGGATGCAGTTGTTTATGGATACACAGGTTCAGCTTGAGAAGATCAAGCGTGCAAAAAGAGCGGCTGCTGCTGGTGAGTGCATTCTCTGATCTTTTGATTTGTTCTCTCTTTCGTTGTATCTTTGGCTTTAAGGTTCAATTTTAAATGTAACTAACTTTAGATGGATAGTGTGCAAATATCTATTGAACAGAAGCGGTGATGAGTTATCCACTTGATTCATTTTTATTTATATTTGTGGCTTTTTATTTAAAACTCTGACAAAAATATATTTTCCTTCAATATATTGCTAGTATGCTAGCGATAATTTGTGCAACCTTGAGGCCTTAGGATTGCTTTTGAGGGGGCGGGGAGGGGGGGGGGGGATATTGGTTGTGAGTGTACCATATTTTCAGTTGTAAAATGACTGAAAATATGCTAGTTGATTGTGGAAACATTTTTTGGGTGGTTTTGTGTCTTAACCATGGGATGAGTGATGGTATTATTATTTGTTTTACTTGGTTGCTTTTTTTTGTGCTTGGATTTGTGATAAAGTGATCCTATAAATTATCTTCAGTTGTAAAATGACTTTCTTAATTCTACCTTCAACTGTAACACATATATGATCTAGTGTTGTGAAAGACAGAGAGTGAATATTAAGGGCTTGAGGTTCTATATTTTCCAGCAAGTTCTTGATGTTGGACATTGAGTTATTTGTCTCTTCCCGATTTCTTGAAACATTTCATTTCATTGATCATATTGTTGTATCATGAAGTGGACTGAACTCAGTTCTGTATCTCATTTTGTTTGCATTTTGGTCATGGTGGGATTGCAATGATAGGATTGCGGTTAGGCTAAAGAGTTTTACCGTTGGATCACTTACCAAGTGTTTCAATTTGTATCTCAACCTATATGGCAACAATTGAAGCATCACCTACTTCTATAGAGAAACTTCCCTATGAATGATCATATTCTTGTGAAGGCAGTATATGATAAACTCCACTGGTGTATGCTGGAGCAAGGGGAGGTGGGAGGTGGTGCATGTTAAATTGGTCATGTTTCCTAGAAAGGCCTGATCCTTTGACAAGTCCTAAGACTGTTCACTACCTACCAGGGCTTTCCTTCTTTTTCCCCTCATTCGTGGATTTATTGGCATTTCAAATGGACCCATCTTTGGAGTTAATTGACAGACTCGAGAGGTCAGTAAAATTCTTTAGTTGTCTTGTAAATTTGATTGGAGTGAGTAATAGTAGCAAATAGTCTATATTATGTGGAGGAATGGTAGTGCAGTTTTTAGAAAAGACGTAACTTTTACTTATCTTTCTGTTCCTGATGGTGCTTTGTCCTTCTGGGTAGGCACACTTTGTGGCATACACCACATACAGTCACATAAATGGTTAACCACCATGTCTTCTTTACTTTGATCAGAGAAGAGAGATTTGTCTACTACCATTTTCCATTGCCCCTTTTATGGTTGTTTTTCTGACATGTTTGTCTGATATCCTTGGTTGATGCAAGCATGGATCTGGTTCTTGGAGGGTAGCTTTGATGGATTGTTGCTAGTGTCTTGTGAATGAAGTTTAGTCTCATTTTTATTCACTGAAAGTGGAAAGAATGAAATTATACGATTTTAATATGATATACTTTAAAGTGGTCCAGAAATTGCTAAATGGAGATAAGAGCTGAATGTGGGGGAGAAATATTCTAGGTTTGCAAGGAGAGGTAAGAATTGATGATAAAAGGGTCTTATTTATCGTTAATATGAACTTCAAGCCTTTGTTGTGTTGTAGTTAAGGGTGATCATGCAAGTGTCTATCTATGCTCTGGTAGTTCTGTGCAGTGTTGGTGTGTTACCAGGTAAACTAGAATGTCTATCTGTGCTGATATTTGGCATTTGGCATTTGGCATGACACTTCTTGTAGCATCTTGATGATACTAGCAAGTGCATAGGTTTAAATAGAAATTTGGTTAGGTTTAGGTTAGCAAAGTTGGGTTTTGACGTCAGTTTGGGTCCAGGCTAGGGTCCATATTTAGGGTTGGTATTGGGTTGGCCCTTGACACAATGCATCTAAGGTTATACATCCTACTTTATTAGAGAGAGTCAAAATGAGTTGACCGAAATTTAATAGGAAAGGAGGGATTTAATGGGGGAGGGGAGATGTTACAAACGTTGACTATTGGGTGGGAGGGAGGTGGAGGTGGAGGTGGAGGGGGAGGGAAAGTGAGAGAGTGAGGGAGTTTTAAAAATGAGAGAGAGTAATGATAGATTTTATTAGAAACAGTTAAGACCTAAGAGGGTTTTTATTTGACATATTTTTAATAGTTTAATTTGTAAATAAATAACCACATGTGTGACAAACGAGAGGAGAAGGATGCCTTTGTGAAATTGAGGTGAGACTCTTAGCCTCCCTCTTTTGTCTATATAATATAGATATAGATTCCTAATTTTCTACTTCCCAGATGAAATCAGAAAAGCACCATGCTACTTAGTACCAATGAACCACCTATCACAAGAAAGTAAAGATCCAATTCGTGGACCATATTTTAATTTTCTTACTTATATTCTGTTCTTAGATTATTTATGTAGCTAATAGTATTTATCATTGTGCCTTTGTTCCATGTCTTTTGAAGGTTGACCTGCTGAACACCTGAATACTTGGTACCTGTGCTAAATACTAAGGTATCACTGATTGTCAGGTTGTGTGAATGGTGCCCTCCAAGATACTGCTCTGTTGTGTCACCTTGGGTTTGAGATCATTGTGTTGGTTGTTTGCTGCTGGGTGTGGTTGCTGAATTGGGGGCCTTTTCTGTAGAGAGATTTTCTCTTGAAGGTTTTGGTAACTTTTTTGGGGGAAGGTGTTTTTACATTTTTTTGTCTTTTCCCCAACATATGTGTGTGCCCTCCTGTATAATTTTTATGTAGTTTTTTTCTTTCTAATTTCTGATTAATAAAAAAATTTATTTATAAATGATTTGAAATAATTGACAAGGGATTTGACATTAATCACAGTTGATAATTCATTGCTAACACATGAATTGATCTGTAGAAGAGGTTTTGATACCGCTTAAACAATTTTCAATAATTTCCTTTTTTATAAAATTTGATATTTACTATAAATTATAAAAGAAATTCATATTAGGTTTTCTCTTCAACGAATGAGTAGATTTGTGGTGATGATGTCTCATGGATAAAATTTTGGTAGTGGCTGAAGGGCAAATTTTGGTTAGATACTTGGTGTGTTTACCAACCACTTCCAGTCTCCACTTGAGCTGTTTCAGTTGTTATTCATGGCCACCACAAATAAGGATGCATTGGTGCCATGATGTGCGTTCCCATGGGGTGTTCTGGTTTCCAAGTTTCAGGTGCAACATTCATCAATTGGAATTAGAGTTACTAAATGTGTCTTGGATGAAAATATTCAGAAAACTCACCAAACTCTTCAGAGGCTGGTTCTGTCTAGGGTTATGGGTGATGCAAATGGGGGTCTTTAGAATTATATCACTTAACAAGAAATTGCATGTTCTTATGAGAGTTAATTAACCAGTAGATCAAATTTGGGGTTCCCATGTTCTGTCAAGGGTAGCATGTATGATTCGGTTACTCTCATTTGGAAATGTCTCACAAAGGACCAAGACCAACTAACTAGAAGAAGAATGCTACTATCTGATGTTTCTTGTAGCCTGTGGACACAACCAACTGCCTCTTTATTCACCGTGAGTTCATCCAGGTGTCATGGACCAATTTCCTAAATGTTTTTGGAGTCTTCTTTGCTTTCCTTTGCATCAATTATAGGATTGAATTAGAGGGGCAAGACTCTTTGGGATTTGGGAGTTTACTTTTCTGTGATATTTTGGACTATATGGAAGGAAAGGAATGTTTATATTTTTGAGTATCTAAACATACAACAAGAGACAGTGATTGGAACAACTTATACCCATCAGTAAGCAAGGAATTCAAGGGTTTTTTTTTTATTTTTTTTCATATGACTCGTTATATATGACAAATAGACAGTTACTTTTTTGTTATTGATAAAAAAATACAGTTTCTTGTTTGGCTTTTTTGGCACCTTGGGGCCAGGTGTATAACTCCTCTTGAATAAGGTTCACACTTCTACACTTTTTCACGGTACTCTTTGGTAATAAAAAAGAAGGAAAAAATGTGTAGATTTACTGTCAGGTAGATAAGTTAGAGTTTGTTGATAGTAGAGATTTGAATGATGCAGTTGCACGTGTCACATAAAATTCTGAGTCTTCACCTTATTACTACCACTTCCAGGCCTATTATGGTAAAAGGAATTTTATATATGTTAATGAATCTAGGTTCTATTGGCCTTGTGTCAAAGATTTAGTAGTATTTAAAATTGAGATAATTGATTAGATGAAAGAGTCTGAAGATGGAGCCATGATGGTCTGTTCTTGGTACCCTTGTATGGAAATTGGGAGGAGGGGGCATTAGAATTTTAATGGTCTAGGTCTGGTATTTAACTTCTCATCTATATATTATAGGGAAAATCAGGGCCTATTTTGAGTGGTTCCTCCAAGGATTACTTCCCTGGCTGTCTAGGAGTTCAACAGGGTGGTCCTTCACTCCTCTTTACCTTGGTAGCATAGTTCTTAGTAGATTAATTGTGAGAGCAGATAATGTAGGTTTCGTTAGGGGTTTTGGGCTGGGGTGGGTAGAGAGGGTATGGTGGTTTCCCACCTCTAGTTTGCACTTTAGATAATCTCCTACTATTCTGTGAAGACCAAAGTTGTGAAGCTTTGAGAAATTTGCACATGTTAAATGGTTTGAACATTGCCCAATCTCAAAATCAACCTAGAGAGAGAGTGCATTTCAGGGGTTTACTTAGAGAAGTCTAGAATAGTGATGTATTCTAGGATCCTAGGTTGCTTTGCTGCCAATTGGCTTGTCAAGTAGGTACTTCTTCATGGAGGAAATCCATGTTTGTGGCCTTTTAGAGCTCAATAATGGATACTCTCCAAAAAACTATCGGTTTGGAAAATACTACATATCTCTTTGCGAGGTAGGAATACCCTCATTAAATTCACTTTCTCCAATCTTCCACATTATTTTTTCTCAATATTTGGGGCTTTTGGTAGGAATGCCCCCATTAAATTCACTCATTCTTGTGTTGCCACTCTCCAGTACTTTAATGCATTGTCTAAATGACCATATCTTGGTGAAAAGGAAGAAATCAGCACGTGTTTCATGTACCATAGGTGGAGGAGATTTTTTTTTTTTTTTCTGTTGCGAAGTGGTAGGGTTTAATCATTTATCAATCCTCTCTACTTGATGTGATGACTGGTCAATAAAAAACAGATGTCTTCTAAATTTAAGATATTGATGCAATCACATAAATGATTTGATATACAATTGTGCAAGAAATGAATGGTATCAAACATTTAGTTTGGTCTTTGTTTTCCAAACAATGAAAAAGTTTCCAAAGAAAGTGAGCAGCTTTGATTATTTGATGTGCCCTTTGTTTGTGGCAACTCTGTACCTTCACAACACTGATTGGAAGAAAACTTGAAAGGACTCCTCCACTGCCTTCTTTATTATATGCCTTTTTTCTATCTTATATACAATTATCCAATCATGTTCCTTGACAAATATTTAAAGTAACAACATGAATATAACCGAGTGCAGATATATTCTATTTTATTTCAAAAAACTAGAGATACAAACAAACAAATAAAGTTTTAAAATGACTTGTGGTGATTGGTTGACTAGGTCAACTAGTTGTTATTTGACTAGTCGACCTAGTCGATGCTTAGTTGTCCTAGTCGATTGCATCATGAGTATTGGTCAACTAATTAGTGATGCAGTCAGTCTGGCTGGCCCTGAACTGACTAATCAGTCAACTAGTTGATGACTAGTCTACATTTTGATAACACTGGTTTCTTGCTGGTGTATGTGGCTTAAGAATAGTGTTATAAAATTCCAATATAATCTGAAGATTGTGTCTCATATTGCTAGGTGTACAATGCTCAAGTTCTTATTTTGTTTCTGAAAGTGCTTAGCAGTTTTTGTTTCAACAACTCTGTGGTTGTGGTGCATTTGTTACCTGAGAACCTGTGATGAAGTTCTGAATCAAGGATTGTTTGGATTGCATTGGAAGCTGGTGGAGTTAAATTGAATCTTAAACAGCTGTTCTTACTGTAAGTTGTAACTTCTGGTCAACTTACAAAACTGTTGACAATTTAATGGCAAGGGCAATGGTGTTTCCGTGTTGGTGAATAGATGCTGCCTATGTGAGAATGGCTGGGAACCAGTCAACCACTTGCCGCTCCATTGCCCCTTCTCATACTGAATATGGACTCATTTTGTAAAGTCTTTTGGGAAGAGTTGGGTTCTACTGAGTAGCATCTGCTCTCTGTTCTCTGCTTGGCGGTGTAGTCTGAGTATGAGGGGTAGGATGCTTTGGCTGGCCTCTCCCCTTATAGTTTGCTGGTTGCTGTGGGGGGAGAGGAACAATTGCATTTTTACAGGCAAAGGCTTGCAGGTGGTGGCTGTGAATGTGATAAGCAAAGCATAGAGGTTTTTAGCTAAGTGGAGTGCTCTGAAAAGGAGTTCAGGGGTACCTCATTCCAGCAATTATGTAACCACTGGGATCAAATATTACTCATGATCTAGGCTGAATCTCTCTCTTTTTTTTTTTTTTTTGGTAAATGCTGTGTATATCATACACTGGAGCCCCCTTATCTCATGGGGGCCTTTTTTAATAATTTTGCGGGTTTTCCACCCTTTAAGTAAAGCAAATTCGTACTTACCTTTCAAAAAAGAAAACTTCTGATCAATATTCAATAAATTTTTGAGAGTTTATACAGGTTATAAAAGTGTATTGAAATATCATTTCTTACCTGATGGGTGAAAAGAATTCCAAGAATTCAAGGCCCTGGCCCCTGTTGAAAAGCTTTTTGGAGCCCAGAATGCATTAACATTCTAATTTAATACCAGAAAGCAAGAGCCTTGTTTCCAATCCTTCCATATACTAAGAATTCCAAATGGGGCTTGTACCTATGCCATAGTTGTCAAGGTGATGCCTAGGCAACAAGGTGCCCTTTGAGGCTCGCCTCACCTAATCGCCAAACAGTTTTGTACTATGTATTATAAAATACTTTTTTATTCTTTATTTTTTGACATCATAATTATAAAATAGGCACTATTAAACTAAAATATTCATTTTCTGTGTTTATATACTAATTTCTTTTTATTATTTTCTTATTTGTTAGGGTTTAATCAATATAAACATCGCTAAATGCTGTATTGAACCCCCAAAAACTTTAAAACCTGAACCAATAAGTAAGGAAGAACTTAAAGTTTTGTCTAATCAACACATTTTCTACTACTACTACTACTACAAAAAAAAAAAAAAAAAAAAAAAAAAAAAAAAAAACAAAAAAAAAAAAAGAAAATCAGAGGAGATGGAGTTCCTTGTGAGCACTGAGTACTGATTGGCCCAGTACTGTCATTTTGACGAAATGGACCATATAGGGTTTGCAGTCTATTCTAAAAGCTGCATCCATTGTGAGTATCATAATATCAATAGTATGTATATCAGAAGTTCAAAACTTAGTTGTCCACTAGTATGTATATCAAGAAGTTCAATTCCATTTCCTTTGTGGTGCAAAACACTTAGTTGCCTAGTCTCTGTGTTTGATTTGTCAATGATCACATTTCTTAAATGCCAGGCATGTGAGAGTGATCATGAATTACTAGAACCTAGAATTGGAAGTTGACCTTGTGAATTTTGACAAGCGGTGGACACCTATCTAACAGTACTGCGTTTACTAGTTAGTACGTTTATGTAGTTGAAATTTACATTATTGTTATTTGTTATTGTGTGTTTGAAAGTTTCTTTTTGTTCCATTTAATAAGATGGTTGAAAGATGCTTGACCCTCCTTTGTCTTTATTTGGCCCAAAGGATGGTTGAAAGATGCCTGACCATTTGATCACTGTTATCCTTTCTTTCTTTCATGTTATGCACTTTTTTTTTGGTCTCTGACTGTCTCTATTTCTGTAGTTTCAGTCTTATTACTTCTTTTTGGGTATACATTCTTGTCTTGTCTTAATTTTATGTTTAGTATATATTAGTTGACTAGCTTTGTAAATTCAATTTGCAATGGAAATTATGGCCTTGGAGTGAAATGGAATAAGAGGACTCGTTCTGTTTGCCCTACTTAGATGAAATAGCTCAAATAAAGGTGGTTATGATGATATATAACAACATATTCCTAATTCACCACATTTACTTTACCTACAAAGTATACTTGCTAATTGTTTATATGATGCCTTATAGCAAGATGCCAATAGACCTAGGTATTATTTTGTTGTCGGAAACAAATACGTGCATTTTGTAGTAGGTTTTTCCATACAAAAGCTGGTGGTAGCTGTTTTGTATTGATTCTAGTTCTAATTAACAGGCAAATGACTGAATTAGGCTGTTTTGTAGTCTTATGATTTGTTTGACCGATTGGTGCTACCTGCAGTTGTCACCTTGGCATGGGGGTCAAGTATTAAAGTGTTCACAGCTGTTTTGTTGCATTGCAAAACTTGGGTTACTACTTACTAGTAGAGCAATGGACTAGAGATTATTTTTGCTTATGTATTGATTTTAGTTCTAATTAACAGGCAAATTACGGAATTTAGCCGTTTCGTGCTTCTCATCATAGATAAAGCTGATAGATGACTGCTTACTCAAATTGTCACTGAGAAAGCTGATAGATGACAAAATGTTTTGTGTTGTTTACATTAAGACCTGCTTACTCAAATTATCACTGAGAAAGCTGATAGATAACAAAATGTTTAGATATTGGATCTGGTAAATGACATGAAATCTTATGGGTGTCTGTTTCGTGGTTGGGGATTACGATGATGTTCTGTCTGTCTTATGTTTGACCAAGTCCTCAAATGATTTAACCATGTATAACCATGTCTGAGAAGTAATTATCTGTATTTTTTATTTAATTACATGAAATGAAATCTTTCATTAGTGCTAATTTGTTCATATTATTGTCTATGTATTTCAGACGGTAATTTATAGCTAGCCGTGTGGGAGAGAAAGCTTGGCAAGAGGAGGCCATTCTTGGGAGATGCGCTGTTTGGTTTACAGAATCTGGAGATGAGATTTGCCCCTGGAGAACATATTACTCCACCTATATTTGGGACTTGGGATTAAAAGAATGTCCTGGTGGAGAGTGGAAGCCTGGCACTGAAGCTTTGGTGATGTTGTATAGTGCCAGTAGAACCTGCTTTCTTGTGAATTCTGCTTATTTTAGTTTGGGACGCTTCAGAAGATTATGGGCAGATAGGTTTTAACAATTTTTATTATATATATATATTCCTTTGTCCTCCCTTCTCCTTCGTTGTTCAGCCAACACTGGGCAGTTCTATCTGCTTTTCTTTCTTGGTAATTTAGTTTGTTTAGAACTTAAAATTGTACCTGCTCCAATGTACTCTACCTATTTGCTTGTCTTCATCTCTTTTCCTCTGGTGATCGATCAGCTGTCATCCCGCAGTCCGCAGAAGGAAATATTGGTGTCTCACTAATTCATCCAAAGAAAAGAAAAAAGAAAAAAAAAAAAGAAACCTTTCCGAATACTTGCAGCCCTCTTAATGTGTTTTCTATTTCTGAGTAAAATGAAATAGATGATGTACTAGCTTTCCAAATTTGGGGACTATCTTGTTCACATCCTTGATGCATCTGATGATCTAATTTGTTCCAACTGTGGATGCATTAATAAAACTGAAGGAAACTGGGATGCGAAGCCTAGATCCCAAATTCCCTTGACCAAGCAACCAAGGAGATTACTAGTCTTTTTCCTCACTCCTGGATTCACGAAGCCACCTCCTCAATACTAGCCGACTGTAATAAAAGTGTTGTGTTGCCATAAATTCCCGAGGTTTTGGTGACATCTTCATCATGTCAACTAGTCGCTAGTGTGGAGTCTGAATATGTTCACCTGAATACAAATATGTACAGTACACAAAATACAAGATTTGCCTGGGTCTGTCTAAGCCTATCCCATTAATATAACAAGGAAATGGCCGTTAATGTTTGGCAAATTAAAATGATTTGACATCACTGACTCAAACTTAATTGATTCTTGAACGGACAATCGAGGACCCTGGATGTCTTGTAAATAACAAGTGAAGACAGTAACGAGTTTCTGAATCCATACTGGAACTCTGTACTTCTTCCCGATTTAGTCAATTGTGGACAAGAGCAAAAACAGTAACCAAACAGCAAGTGCTTTTCCAGAAAGTAGAAAGTAACAGAAAGTGTAAAATGATGCATGGGCCATGACTTTCATCCTTTGGATTCCTATAGTATAGAGCTAGCCAACCTTTTCTTTCAATCCGGCGCCTGTTCCTCCTTTTATACCCTCTTTAGCAAATCAACTTTTTAAGGAATGTAAAGCCTATTGCCTCCAAAAAGCTAACAACTCCCCCACATTGATTAGTAGCCATTTAGTATGGGAGATGAGACGTGAGTGGGGTATTGGATTGTGGACCAACTCTTGTAGGTGGAATGGTTGAAAGGTGGCCTGGGTTTCCTCATCTGTCTGACCGAATCAAAACTGGTGAAGAAGGGAAACAACATGAGAGTGGCAATGGTTTGGCGTATCCGGAATCCAGTTGTACATGAACATGGTCATGCACTATGAATATTATTTGAATCATAGATTAGTGCACGCAGCAAACTCCAATGGTTGAGACCATAGAGCTTACTACTGTTGTACTTTGAAAAAAGAATGAGACCAATTGAGCATTCATCATGCTGCATATTGGAATTCATATTGACGTTAACCTCTTTTCAATCCCAAGTTTTGAGTATCAGACTGCCTGAAAAAAGCAACTCACTCAACTAAGGGTTTGCTGAACCTTGCCTGGGATAACAAAATGAATTATTGCTGACAATGGACAAGTGGTGTCAAATCTGTAATACTATATATCCATGTCCGACCTTGGAGGTGGACTGGGTCCACCCACGCCAAACTCGAAAAAACTGAGGTGGGCCAGTGCCAATAGGCTCGACCTTGGAGGTGGATGATCCCATGTATACGAAATACTGGCGTGTTCATTCATGATAGGTTGCTCAACCCGTTTTGCATGATTTTATCTCCAGCCCATCTGGTCCCATAAAGACCTAACCCAATAGGGGTGGTCTGGTGTAGCTTACCCAATTAACTGTCAATGTTAATCTATATTCCAGCCCAAATCTCTTTCCTTTAAGTTACTTAAAAAGATGATTTAACTGGGACGTCATGTAGTTGTTTTATGGGGGTGGTTGTTGGTTTGGCTGGGAGTATTTGAGTTCTTCTGAGGGTTCTGTGTTCTATCAGACTTTAGGCCTGGGTTTTTTGGGCTTTCATTGTTATCGGGGTTTGTTTTGTATATCCCTCCCTATGTTTTTTGTTTAATTAATTTCTTTTTTATTTACCTTAAAAATGATTTAACTCGGCATTTACAAAAGGCAAAATAAAATACAAAACTTTAGAATCTTAACAGTTCTTTTCTTCCTTAAAAAAAGAACCTAGACATTTCAAAAGAAAAAGGTATACAACCTGCTTTTAGTGTATATGTATCTATACATTGATTTATAATAAATAATTTTTTTTTTATTTTATCTTGGATATATAGTTGAAACCTCTTAAAACCATTTGGGGATTTATTCAGAATTCATTCAAGCCTACTTGATGCAATTCACCAATGGACACAATGGGTTTTAAAGCTTTTTCTTTTCTTTTTTGTTTAAACAATCAATTGTGTCTGTCTTAAAAGAAAAATAATTAAGGCTCAGTTTGGAAGGAATACAAATACAAATATATAGAGTGCAGAACTTTGTATTTTGTATTATTTTGCATGTACTCCTTCCAAACTGAGCCTAAGCCCTAAGGCTGTGTTTGATTTGAAGGAATACTAGGAGTTTGTATAGGTTTCCCTACCTTTTTCTTCAAACCCAAAATAGCCAAAGGAGACTACAACCTGCAAAAAATGGAAACAATTCAAAAACTGCATAAAGCAAGAAGAAGTGAAGGTATTTTGCATGTTTTTTTTTCATTTAATCATTAATGTTCAATAGATTTATGTATTTTGGGGTTTCAATTGCAAAAAGAAAAAGGTGATTTGTGGCTATATTTGTGATGTTTTAGGCCTCTATTAATAGATTTATCGGTTTTTCCAAAAAATAAAAATCCAAAAGTAATGAAAATAACCTAATTATTTTATATGCCTTAAATGATTTATCAAATCCATTGGTCCAACAACTATTTATGCCAAAAATGATAATTTTTTCTTTAATTTTGGTAATTTACTAAAATAAAAATAACGTTAAATAAAACAATTATGTCAGTATTTAGTTACTAATTATTGAAATTGTGAATTATATATTATATGTATCTAAGAAATTTTAATGGACCTTATATATTTTAAACCGAAACTATTTATTTATTTAATTAGCTAATAATTTAATCAACATAAATAAGTAAATAAAATATATTGGTTATTTGAAGAAACAAAAGTTAGTATTATATAAAAAGATATTTGATAAGTAGCAATTTATGTTGAACTTTTGGTTAGATTTGTAGTGCTTTAGGCTTCTATTAGTATATTTATGGACTTTTATCCAAAAAATTAGGAAAATCTGAAAATCATGTGATACCCATAATTTGTAATTAATGTGGTTTTTTGTTTATTACATGTTATATTTATACCTTATTCATGGTTATTTTAATCTTAAATTTAATATTATTAATACATTTATAAGATCTATTATTTTTTAATATATTTATATCTTTCCACCATATCCAAAACAATAAATATCCGTTTTTAAATTTATCAATATGATATAGGATATCCATATAAAACCTTTGGTGGGAGGAAGATTGCATTTGAGAGAGAACTTTCTCTGAACATGTGGTTGTGTGTATTCTAATGCTTCTCCATATAATCCATATAAGTCCAAACTCCATAGATATATTCTTTGGCCATTCCATTCGAATATTATGCCTGTTCCCCAAATGTTTTTATTAGGTTTCACTGGACAAGTCCACTCATGTTTTATGTCTACTCGATGGGCCCCTTTGATTTGACTGGTTACCTGTTCAATTCATCCAAACAAACCCCACCGTTGGGTTCCTCAAATTTCAAAAATAAAAGATCAAGGTAGAGGGAAATTTAAATTTGATCAACACATCSATGAACATTTTTTGTTTTCAACTCAGAAATTACCAAGGTTCTTAAAACCAGACCGGACAGGGAACTATTTTGGGATTAGTTTTCGAGTCGAATGGTCCAATTATCTGATTTGAACGAATGACCCGTTTTAACTTAAAAAATAAAAATCTGTCAAAAATTGGTTCCCAGTTTTTCCGATCCAACTGTCTGTTCCGGTCCAGTTTAAAAACCATGGAAATTACCAAGGCTTTTGGCTTGGGTGCTTCATACATTTGATCTTATTTCTTGGTCGGTGGTACTACCCCGTTGAACAACCCAATTGTACAGACCGGACCAGGCTGGTGATGAAAACACTCCTCATCATTACTACCCCGTTGAGAGATAGAAGTAGAAGCTGGATGTGTGTTTTGTGGGTAAGCAGATGAAATTCTTCATCATTTGCTCACTTACTGTCGATTTTTCTGGAGCAATTTGGTTAATTTGGGTTTAAATCAAAAGGAGTTTTATTACTATTCAAAGCACATCCAATTCACCCAATGCTTACAGATTACATGAAAAAGTGTTTGTCTTGTCAATTTTGAAGGGTAAATTGCAAATTACTACTCTCTACTTTGGGCAGTACTTGAATTCTTGAAAAATGTCAGTTTAATAATCGAAAATCATTAACCAATGTTAAATAGAATGTGAAAGGACACAATTACCTTCAAGTTTTTGAATAGGTGATAGAAGCATAATTTTGAGATGGCCAAAAATAGCCATGTTTAAATCCCTTTCCCACCAAAGAAGCTACACGAAAAAACATTGTTGGAGAAGATAATGCCGTTGCTGAAGAAGAGGGATTTAGACCACTGCCGTTGTATTTTTTTTTTGTTTTTTATAACAAAAGGGGTTTAGACCGCCGTTGTTGCTAGAGAAGATGGGTAATTCTTGTCGTTGTTGGGAAGACAATCAAAGTAAAATGGTCTCAAAAATATTAAAATGATAGTTTTGGTTTTTTCTAAAAAAAATAAGTCACACATACCATCACATGATACAGCAATTAATGGACTGCTAATGGCTGGTATTAAATTGGCAGTTTTTGGGAATTCAAGTACTACAGTGGCACGTTTTGAAGTTTGGGTACTAAAGTGAAACTAGCCTTAAAGTACAAGGTACTAGTATGCAATTTATCCTATATTCTACATGAAAAGCCTAAAATAGTTGTAATTTTAAGGAAATCCATCTTAATACTTGCAAGTTGTTCATGTAGCTTCTATATTAGCTATAAATAATAAAGAACTAGCGGGAACCCGTGCAATG